CAGTGGTCAGTTTCTTTTTCTTTCAAAATACACAACTCTTTTACAACAGCAGCATTGATCTTAATGACATTTAAGCACCTAAACGCATCTGAAGATCTGGGCCAGAGTGAACTGACAGCTTCTATTTCCTATTGACATAACTGGCATAAAGGATAAGATTGTACATGGCTATACTTGAGTTGCTAGTGGCAGTACAATAAAGATACCACCTATTAAGGCAGGGAAAATGATCAATTGAATCAGAGAGGCTTGCACTCGCACAGGATGCATTGATCCAGCATTTGATGTACCTCCATTACTAGGCTAAAGCACGGCTTCAGAGTTCCAAACCTCCTACTTAAAAGCAGTTGGGAGCAAGAGGATTTTTCTCCTCTGTCATGTTTAATGATGAACAACCCTAGCAGATGCGTACACGAAGCAGAGCTGCTATAGCTGAAAAAAGCTGTGCTTAAAAACCAAACTGACCCCCCACTGGAGGCTGGCAGAGCGCTCCGCAGGGCTCTAAATTTCCCAGCTGCGCCAGCGCCAACCATTGCTGTACCCAGTCAATCCAGCACAACCCGGGACTAAACACAGTGGGAGAGAGAAACAGGAGTCGGCAGCAATTCTTAGAAAATATATCTGCCTGGTAGTGGGTATGTGCTACCTCTGGAATCCTCCAGTCCAAACAAACACTTCATGCAATAGACACATGAACTATCCACCACAGTCCTTAAAACACCAAAGCAGGTATGTTATTAAGAAAATCACTGCGCTTTAGATAAACATGTCAGTTTCGCACCAAGCAAACTGACAGATGTGTTCTGTCTCTTTTATTTCGTGGATACGTACGCCTGTAACCCTCAGCGCAGAGTTACTGCTGTGGGTTAGCACGAATACTCTGCTTGTGCTGTCTGTAAAATGAACTTTTGGAGAAAAGTTTGTAAAACGCTTTGGAACCAGCCTTACTGGTTTAGGATGGAAAAAAAGTGTTTATTTTCAATTATCTCACAAAGTTTCTGCAAGCCAGGTACCTCTTCTGTTACCCTCCCAAAGGAGCACAGCCTCCTACAAGCAGCGATGGCTGCAAGAGGCAACAAGTGGGCCACCCACGCCAAAGACACAGGCCAGCTGGACCAGAACACAGAAATACTTAAACCCGCCTCTTTTTTGAGTCAGCCCGTTTGTTTCACAAAGTTTTTAAATTAAGAAAGCAGCAAACCCTTTTCCAACCGATGTGTGACAAGGAATCATTGGGCTCCCCAGCTCCCACCGGGCAGGCCCCGAGCCCGCAGTCAGTCACTCACCGCGGCAGAGCCCACCGCCCCCGGGGCCGTCCCGGGGCTCCGGGCCCAGCTGAGACAGCCCCGAGCCGGGCCGAACCGAGCCGGCGGCGCCCCGCGGGCCCTCCGTCCCTCACAACCCCCTTCTGACTCCTCCAGGCTGGTCACCCCGAGCCTCCCCGCGGCGGGGAAGGCCGGCCGGCCGGCCGCCTGCCTGCCCCCCGGGCCCCGCGTACCTCTCTCCGCCGGGGCGGCCCGAGCGCGCAGCGGCAGAGCAGGGCGGCGGCGGCGGCGCCCAGCAGCAGCCCCAGCAGGACGGCGGGGGCCAGCAGGGCGGGCAGC